TTTTTTTTTTTTTCGTTACAGTCTATGAACGATACTAGCGGTTTTCTTAGAAGAAATTCCATAACTTCTTTTTCCGATTTGCAACCATCACAAAATTAATGTAACTTTAACCAACAAATTCCACAGCTAAAGTGATGCTTCAGAGAAAATAAGTGTTAGTTAATTGGAGAGCAATAGCAGTATATCCCATTGCATAAATACGACCATCAAACCAAATGCTGATAGAACAGAACTTAGCTGAATCAAGTCAGTCAATAAAAATTAAGGTTAAGAAGAAGAAAAAAAGAAAAAAGAAAAACGAACAAACAAACAAAAATAAGAATAAAAACTTCTGTCAGCAGTAGTGGAAAGAAGCAAACTGCTGTTCTGTCTGATATTCTTATAAACAAATAACCCAACCTTTTCAAACTTTAACAATCTTTTCAAAAAATTATTGGTCTACATATCACATTGGTTGCAGTATACCGGTAAACGATAACTGACGTACTAAATCTATGCAAAAATAATAGCCATAAGCTTAAATTGAAAATCTTTTATTTAGTTTTCTTTTCTTTCTTTTACTTTTTTTCTTTTTCTTCTATTTCACCGTAACAGAATAGAAAAAAAAATTTTAAATTTAAAATTTTTTTTTTTGAATAAACATAACATTAACAACAATAATTTACTAAACAGAACAACTACAAAAAAAAAAAAAAAAAAAAAAGCTGCAGATTATAACATGTCACCAATAGTTATCATCAACATGAAAAAAAGAAAAAAAAAAACAAAAACCAAAAAAAATTTTTTTTTTTTGAAACAGTTCCGTAAAAATTACGGTAACGAAAGTTGTGCTAAAAAATATTTGTTTGAAATATTTGATTGTTTTAACCGATACAAAAACAGCAAATCAAAGATGGCTGAAAAAGGAAAAACCGTCTAAAAACGTTGATTGCACAAAAACAAATCACTTCTTTTCTTTTCCAATTCACCTCTCTTCCTCTCTTTCCAACCTAAAAAATTTAGATTTTTTAAACATTTTACGATCTCTCAACAAAAAAAATTACTAATTAAACAAGAGCAGAATTGATTGTTATGCTTTACGTTAAAAACAGTAACTGTTGAGCTGCTATAGTTGAACACTGTTTGTTGCGGAGAGTAAAGGAGAGAAGGAGGGTGAATGGGTGGGCTAAAAACTA